CTGTTTACCTCCTTCGGTATTCCCCCTCCTCTGATCCGTCTGCCGTCTGTGTGACAGTCACAGTTACAGACGAGGTTATTGAATTTTTGATGAAGCAACAATTCAGAGAGAGAGAGGTAGAGAGAGAGAGAGAGAGAGAGAGAGAGAGAGAGAGAGAGAGAGAGAGAGAGAGAGAGATTGTGTCTGCAGGCTGTTTTATTTGTGCTGCAGTAAACATTCATCACTTTACACACATTTATTGTTGTGTGGTAGCTTTCTGTGTGTTTGTTTGTCGCTATAAGGAGTGTGTATGATCACTCCATCAGTCAAGTGTGTGTGTGTGTGTGTGTGTGTGTGTGTGTGTGTGTGTGTGTTTTTGTGTTTGTTTGTTGCATACAGCTCGTGAGTGATGATGGTGTGAGTTTTCTGTAAATCTACTGAGGCAAAGTTGTTTGGTTTTATTGTGAGACATGTGTGTGTATGTGTGTGTGTGTGTGTGTGTGTGTGTGTGTGTGTGTGTGTATGTGTGTGTAAATGAAAAAAGAGAGAGAGACTTTAATCACTGATGAATGAAGCAGCAGAGCGTGAGATTGTGTCGGAGTTATAAAACGAGAGAGAGAGAATATTTGTGAGAATACAGTGTAGAGACGGAGTAAGACACACTTTCTCTCTCTCTCACACACACATACACACACACACACACACACACACATTCCTGCCTGGTGGTGTGAATGGATGTAACACATTAACGCTGATAAGTGTGTGAAGTACAGATGAGCGCGATGAGGAGGAGTGAGGAGACAAAGAGGTGAGACACCTGAGTGGAGACAGGAAATGATCTCGCCAAATAACTCACTAATGCTGAGAAGTGTGTGAGAATGACACACACACTCACACACACACACACACACACACACCAAGGAAATAATCCAGGCTGTGTAAACTCATGAATGTTGATGCAGGCAGTGGTTTTTCTCGCGGGGCTGAGATCGCTGCGTTTTGCATAATGTGTCAAACTGATATACAGCTGTGAGAAACACAGAGATGCTTTTGAAAAATGGAGAGAGGTTAGAACACAGAAAGGTTTACAGACCCATGCAGAGCTGGATAAACACTGAAGCTTCAGAGTCCACCACATGGTGACCTGTGTGAGCATCCACTCTAGAGAGGAGGGGGGGGGAGACAGCTCTCTATGATGTTTAGAATTTAGACTGCAGTACCTATTTTAACCACTAGGGGTCAGAGTTACATATTGCTCCTTTAAATATGTCCAAATATGGACTTGGACCAAAACTTACAGCTAAGAGATAAAGTGCTGATCTAATTTGAAAACATCTAACACCTCCAAAACAACTTCAGCTCTGGTTGATTTAAAGCTTTTTGTTCCGGCTCAATAAAAACATATTTATCTAAAAACTCCACTTTTTGACTCATGAATAAAAACAGACACGGCTGTAAGTGAGAAGTGTGATGAGTTGTTTAGTATTAGCTCTCCTCGCACTGCTCTCATCGAAATGGATCACAAATCAATACAGCTATTATCTAAAACAAACCTCGGGCCTTGTCAATATTCGGCCCACGGACTCGGCTTGGCTCTCGCTTTACCGCCATCAGCAGACTCACTCCATCTCTGTGTGTGTGTGTGTGTGTGTTTCACGGCTGTCATAATTCAAATTCTGCCACCTAATAAGCTAAACCTTCGACTGACTTTCCAATTTGCAAATTTCTCTGACTCACGGAGAAAAAAAATGGATAATCTCCACGACCTCTGAATGAGCCGGAGCTGCTCGACAGCTAAAATCGTTTCCACATCATTATCTGGAGCAAAGGAGCGTAACGGGGAGGTCTGTAAGCGTGTGAGGGTTTGTTCCCATCGCCCATGCAGCACCAACATCAACACAAACACGCAGACTACGTTTGTGGATAAATATCCAGTCATCTATTCAAGCATTCAAATGAATGTTTGCATCACTGCTCAAAAAAACAGCGGGGGTTCAGACGAAACTAGAAAAGTTCTGTAATGTCTAAATTCTTAATACACACCTGACAGTTCACTACAGGTAGAACTAGATGTTTAGAGTATTTATATGTGAATGTATAACCAGTGAATTAATGAAGAAAACCAAGATATATGGAACCAGAAAATGTCGATATAACTAGCTTAGGGTGGTTTCAAACTTGGGACCAGGGCCCGGATCCGAGTATGCTTGACCCCAAAGTCCGGTTCATTCGATCAGACGTACCATGCCTGAGTCCGCTTAAAGAGGTGGTCTCAGCTCGGATTCATGTGTACTCGAGTACAGTCTGCGGGAGATGTAAACGCAACCGTGCTCAAGCTAAGAAGTGGACCGCCAAATGACCTGATTCTAAACTACTCCTGTAACTTCAAAAACCGATGGACCGATGGTTTTCGTCCTCTGAGCAGCACGGTAGATGTGGACGTAGGAAGAGGGTCATTGTTGGCGTCTTAGAAAAAATAAAATCATCCACAGTCCGTGGTTGCCATGGTTGCTGCTTCTTTCCCTTAAGTTACACTCAGTCCCAGACTGTTAAAGACACAAACACGGACACACAGTGTTAATATCGGAGGGTACTCACGTTGAAAAGGCGTTGTTCTGCCTCTCACAGCGGATGCCTTTGCAGTTGTTGTGTTCTTCTGAGGCCTTGGTCTCGTAGTAGAAGTACAGCTGGTTCAGACCGTTAGCAAACGCCAACAGGACCTACACAGGACAGAAAGCGTTCTCATCTCTTTATACAAACACATATTCTTAAGAGTTATGAGGAGTACCACTAGACATTTAGTTTTGGAATAACAAGGTCTTCTTCCCAAACACTTAAAACATCAATGCTGGCATGAGATGCTGTTGAGTCATTGTGGACCAATCATTGCCTTGTGTTACAGGGATTGACCTTCTGCTCTTACAGGGCATTTTAAACGAGCCATTCTTCATAAACAGGATATAAACTGTGTGATGTTACGCAAAGCTGATAACGACAGGCCATGAAGTCCTCTGGGCTTCCAGCTCTCTGGGATTGATTTTAAAGACTTCAGGGAGCTAAACGGTGCTCCAGTGGATCGCGTTGGAGGTTAGGAGTTCCCCTGAGAATTCATTAATGAAGTAGACCGGTGTTGTCCTTCCATCATCGATGAAGGATACAGTGTTTGAAAATGTATTCGCAATAGAGGAAGCGATGGATTCTTGCAAAGTTTCAGACAGATATCAGTTTGTTCTGGAAGATGGCTTTAGAGTTTCGTCATTTTCCATTTTCCAAAGATGATCTTCTGGGATTTTTTTGGCTTTTATGAGACAGGACAGAGGCGCTGTTTGTCAACAGGAAAGGTAGGCAACTTCTCGGGGTCCCAAACCAGTAGGGGGCCCTCTGGGGCTGACAGACTTTACACTAAGATCCTTGCCAGACTGGGCCGTCGACCCACCAGTGTCAAGCTGTCTGTGACAGTCAGTGGTCTTTTTTTTGGGGTCCATCCCACACCAGCTAGATAGCTTGCCTGCTCCTCAATAAGCAAGACGTTTGTTGGACTCAGCATTTCCAAAATGGCGACCCTCATTGTTGGGCTTCATAAAGCCTTTCCAGAAACCGATGGGTGACATCACTGAGACTACGGCAAAGCCCTTAGATTTGACTCTTTTCCCAAGCTTTGCACCCAGAGCTGATAACACGGTCGACTGGGACAGGTTGGTTTATCTTCAAACCATCTCCATCACACATATAGAACTGAATATTTGTGTTGTTTGAGCAATCGAAACCAAAGGTAGTTTTTTGAATCTGTTACTCACCAGGCAGTAGATGAAGAGGAACTTGAGGATGTCCAGCAGCATCCTGCCCAGTGAGATCTGCAGAGGCCCGAGGTGAGAGTTGGCGGTGAAGAGGGAGATGAGTCTGAGGGAGCTGAAGATGTTAGCGATGGCGAACAGAGCCTCGGCGATCAGCGTGGGGTGCCACATCTCCCACTCCTCCCGGGGTCGAGAGGAGTTATACTGAAGGCAGCAGAGAGGACGGAGATAGGAGTTTTTTTTTATTATTACAACCAGAGAAGGAGAAATGAACACACATGACTCACACACAAGCCGAGACGGAAAATTTGACAAAACCTCTGAGGTTATTTATTTCTATCAGTTTTATGTCTGTGCATTCAGTGCAGTTGGTCTTGGTTGTGTTTTACCTAGCTTAGCATTAAAACATCAGAAGCGGGGGGGGGGGGGGGGCAGTGAAAGACATAAAACAGAAGTGAGGAAAGCAAACTAAACATTCTGTCTTTACTTCTTTGCACCAAAGGCATTTCATCAGACATTTTATGAAATAGAAGCTGTTTTTTTATTTTCAGCGAGAATTTTATTTTTATTTTTGGAAACTTGCTGGAATATTCAGAAAGGCTGAACGGTGGTGCAGTGGTTAGTGCAGTGGTTAGCGTTGTTGCCCCACAGCGAGGAGGTTCCTGGTTTGAAATGTGTTCCTTAGAGGATAACAGTCATGATTTTGTGAAAGCACCTCCTTATCCCCTGAATCTCCCTCATGCTCTCCGCTGTTCTTTCACTTCACCGTTAGTGTTAGTTTTTTCTTTTTCCTCACCGTCACCATCCTCCTCTTCTTCTTCTACCTTTCACTCTCGAATGTTTGACTCCTCTCATTTACACATACTTTTCTCTTTTTATGCAATGTTTTGTTTCTTTGACTCCCTACTTACAGTTTTACCTCTCTCTCAAGATCATTTTCCCAGCATGCTTTGTTCCCACACTGTTTTAGTTTTTTTGCTTTTTTCATTTTATCTGTCTCTCTGTCCATCTCACCGTCTTTTTTCTCTGTCGGTTTTCTCACGCTTGGCTTCCTTCTCATTCAAAATTCAGCCATTAGACTTCCACAGGATGTCTGTCTTATTAAGTCTGCCTCTATTAGCATCCACACACACACACACACACACACACACACACATACACAAAGACACACACACATACACAAAGACACACACTTACAGTCACACCGAGGGACGGCTAGAAACAGAAATATGCACACAGATGCACACTCATTAATTTATAGACTCTCTTGCACCTTCTCTCAGATTCCCTCTATTTGTCTGTGTCTCTCGCTCACACACACACACACACACACACACACACACACACACACACACACACCACACAGTGACGGAGCAAAATTTAAGCTACCAGCTCTCCTTCGGATTTAAAAAAATGTTGTAAATATTTCAAGGATTTAAAAAGTAAGAAAAATGGCGCCAACAGCTGCCTCTGTGTGTGAGTGTGTGTGCGTCTGTGTGTAGCGTTGTATCACTTCCAGTCGACTTGTGTTGGTGTATGTTTGTGGGGATACAGTTGTGTGTCCGGATCTACATGTGTGTGTGTGTGTGTGTGTGTGTGTGTGTCCTCATAAAACTGTGTGTATGAGGGACCTGTGTAGGAGGGCCGCCCGCCACCATCAGTGACTCACAGCTGCTGCAGATGGCCCGGCCGTCTGGTGTGTGTTCAAGTATGTGTGTGTGTGTGTGTGTGTGTGTGTGTGTGTCACCCTTTGCTCTTAATAATTAAATTCATTGCACACATGTATGCAAAGTGTGCAGCGAAATAAGTATTATTAAATCTGAAAGCTGTGCAGTGAGAGTGAGAAACAAAATAACTGGAGGTGTCAGTTAGCTTAGCGGTTAGCGTGCTCCCTAGTGTGCAGAGGCTATGGTCCTCTGAGCGGAGCTGGCGGGTTTGAATCCGACCTGTGGCTCCTGTTTAATGTGTCAAAGGTCAAAGGTCACAGCTGATGCTTACTTTTCAAGGAAGGCTTCCTACTGCCGCACTACGGGGACGTTATCAAGTAAGTACAGATACAGCGTTATCATCATGTGGTCATTTGTGGACAAATCTTTTTTGTTGTTGTCGCTTAAAAATGAGTCCCCCGTGTCCCCCGGGTATGTGGACTTCAGAGGTCAGCCCGTAACAGTCCCGTAACTCCATCTTAACTTTTTTTATCATCGATTTCCTTTCTCTTTGAGAGAAAGGAAATCTTTACCTTGACGTAAGCCACTATCTTTAGTGATATGGTGGCCAGGTAGAGCGAGTTCATGGCGAAGTCCATCAGGTTCCACCAGTCGTGGATGTACTCTGTGAATCCCCCGTCCCACATCTCCTTAATCTCCGCCCAGATGAAGCCTGAAACACACACACACACACATAAACACACACACAGTCATGCATGAGTGAGCACATCAAAGCCTTCCATCAACTCTTCCTATCTGCTCTCTTATCAAACTTTTGTTGCATATTTTCTTTAGGCAGCCGCCTCCTGTTGGGAGCATAGAGCCAACACGTTTCTTCTGAACGACTGATTTTGAAAATATTCAGGTTTTACTCCATTACTAATTCATCCATGATCACTCATATGGTTGTAAAAAGTAATTATGGCTTTGTTTAAAGAGAAAAATCTGCTATAAACTTTAACCTGACCTCCCGTATTACATTTGCTGGTTGCCATTTTTTGGTGAAAAGTGTCACCTCATGTCAACATTCTCCACCACATCAGGAAGAGCTTTGGTTTCACTTTCACCAGAACAGGCTGTTTCTGTGTCTGTACCTTTAAATATGTAAATGAACTGTGTCTGACCACGCCCCCTCTCTGGAAGGGCTTGGGTGTACTCGGTGCTTTCTCGCTCCATGTCCTATTGTTTACAGTGAGAAGGCGGACTCAGAGGGCAGAACAAACACCTAGCTGTGGGAGTGTCACCCACATGGGGGAGGGGCTACTGCCCTTTGTGATGTCATAAAGGGAAAATCTCCAAACGGCCTGTTTGAGCACACATTTTCTGAAAAGTGGAGCAGGCAGAAGACAGAGAGGATGGACTTTTCTCATGATTGGGGGTTTTGTGGACAGACTAGAGACACATGGTGAAGTATGTTTTATATATGTGACCTTTAAAACAACGGAACTGTCCCTTTAAGACTCAAGATGAAAGCAATTTCTAATTATATCATGTTCCTGATAGTTTTTGGTTCATTTACCTACATAGACTGGTGAGACTAAAACTTGAGTGTCATTTTGAACATTTGAGTCTTTGGAACCACGTTGAACTATTTCAGTTTTTATTTTCGAGCTTTGAAAAAATTCTTTAAAGGAGAACAACAGCAAGTGTGAGCTCCTCAACATCCTCAACAAGCAGCTCATGTAGTGTCTCTTATCATCCAAAGCCTTTCAGAGCCGAGTGTCTCGGAGCGATTTAGACAGGATGAAAAGCGAGCAGACACACAGAGAGCGAGAACAGGTGGTTTTGTGTTTTCCTCAGCGATCATAGCGGATGATGGTTCGGATTTGGAAATGATTGCTGTCAGCTAAGAGAGAGAATATGGAGATGTAATCACTCTCACACACACACACACACACACACACAACCGACCGCCCACACACACACCACGTCCACCTCCTCCACACTCGCAAGCATCCGACCACACATACCCACACACCCCAACAAACACACACACGTATACACACTGGTGAAGACACACTCGGGGTCTTCTCGATGAGCAGCAATCAAAGTAAAGAAAAAAAAAAGTTATTTTAAAAAGTGGTTGTATTTTTCTGTTTCTGTTTTTCAGAGTACGGATGCTTACTGGACCATGACGTCTTCAAGTTCTTACAACGAGTGCAGAGAATTAGAGACTGGAAGCGTGGAGTAACTGGTAATGATCCCAGAGGTCGTCTTAATCCTGCACAAATCTACTCAGTCCTTCGATTGTAAATTAACAACTCAATCACAAAATATCCAAAATATTTCATCATCACAAAGATGTCCGGTCATTCGATAATTTAGTCCAGTGTGAATCAGAAATTATTTGATTTTGTGTCACTTCCACTCCACTGTTCCCTCTGTGTGTGTTTGTGGTCACCTGGACTTGTGTCACTGACTGAGATCGTAACACCAGACAGGTTGCGGCGGTAACCAGGGGAATTAAAAATAAAAAAAAAACTACAAATGAGTTGAAGTTAAAGGCTTTATATGTGATTTTTTGATCCAGCAGATGTCGCCCTTGAGCACCAGCATGAAACCAAAACAACTGGCGCTGCATTGTTGTGTTAGCATGCTAATGCTAGCAATCTTTATTATGCTGGTATCTTCACACTGCATGTAAATTTACCTGAAATGAGCGTGATCTAGAAACACAGTTAAGCAGTGAGTACAGTATGTTATTCTTCTTTTCTCTAGTCCCTCAGTTAAACAACTTTTATACACGAGGGGAGGAGTCAGCCGGCCGTCCTGGCGATGTAAACAAACTGAAGATAGGACTCTGAAAACTCTGAAAACATCACAGACAGTGGGACTCGGGTTATTTTTAGAGGATAAACTTGATTTCTATTACATTTTAAGCCTTTAAATCTTCCTTCTAATCACGGTAATTATGTGGAAAAACAGCCGATCAGTCTGCCCAGTCTGAGACCGAGAAGAGACAGAGGAAACTGCTTTCGGTTCTGAGATGAGACCTTCAGAAAGTGGAATTGAGAAGACTGATTTTGAGTCTTTCACTTGTTGCCAGATTGTCCTTTTACCACCGTGGTATTTTTTTGTTAGCATCTTTAAAAAACTTCAGTTTCGCTGCATTAATCTCGTCTTTTCCTCCTGCGTCCAGATTTCCAATGCTAAAAGACTTCTTGATCCCAACGCCCAGCTCCAAATCCTCACCTCTTCTACACTGACTCTGACTCTGAAGAACCCGACCCCAGAGTCCTGCTCTCACACCTCACACCTCCCATTGAAAATGATTTACAAGATAAGTAAGGTGTGTTAGAGTTGAGGTAAAAGTCCGCGTACGTACCCACCACCCACGGGAGGATCATCCACTCCACGATGGTGGGCGGGGGTCCCTGCATGTGCAGGTTGGTGCGTGCGATGTGCTGCGAGGCGAGCAGCAGCAGGAAGAGGAAGGTCAGGTAGGACGCCGTGTGACAGATGAACTTGATGAAGGGCTTCTTGATGAAGCGTCCCAGAGCGCTTTTAGGAGCCAGCAGGTAGATCTGAGGAGACGCAGAGATATGACATGTTTTAGTTTTTATTCAATTATCTGTCCTGACAATTCTTATGAAGGTACAAAACAGAAGAAAGAACAATCTTTGAAAGAAGATTTGTGACTCTTCTCTCTCAGATTTCTGACCTTGTGTAACTTCTAATAAACAACAAAGTGTTTTCAAGTTAAAAGACATAAAACAATCCTCTTTGGCACACTAATGTCTAGATTTTTTCAGCATTTTTTTAACATCTTCAAATCAAGAAATCAGACAAAAAGAGAGACTGTATTGGAGGGCTTGGTCCAAGCAACCTTTAAAAGTTAAAGTTCAATCATATGACAATTGTTAAAAACAACACCAAACTAGAAGACAAAAGACAAACTTGTTTCTGAATGGGAAGTTATATCTTGACGCTTGGTTGTTGTTAGTCAGCATGGGGAGAGTTAGCTTGGTTTAAACTGGAAAAGTTTGGAGGAGCTAAAATCTTGCAAGTTTCAAAATGCTAGCCGAGCTAACGTAAAAAGGCTAAATAGAACTCAACAGTGACCGCCGGGTTTTTCAGCACCTCTGGTCAAATCCTCCTTTGACATTTCACAAGATCCTTTTGTGAATGTTTTTCATGAGGTTGAAATCTGATTTTGTAGCACGATGGGAAATGAGCTTTACAGGAATTGAGCAATAATCTTGTAAAGTCATCAACTCATCTCCCTTCCTCTCTCCTAACCTTCCTTGTATCTTTTAAACTTTCCTTTATCCTTTCCTTTCTCGCCTCCTTCCTCTCTTCCTCGACTACTTTTTGCCCAGTATTCATTTTGAGCATCTGTTAATACAGCCCCCCCCCTTTGTGACCTCTCTGACCCTCCCTCCATACCAGAGAGAAGAAAGGAAACAGGAGTCCGATGATGAAGCAGGTGACCAGCTTGACCGCCCAGTGTCGTCTCCTCCAGCCCGGGAAGCCATCGTACCAAAGCGTGGCGAGGAGCTGCTGACAGTTAGGCTGAGCCAC